CTAGAGACCATTGTACGTTTTCTTTAGCCTCTTAAAAAGCCTTTAATTCACTCTAAACTAGCTTAAGAACATTTCATAGTTTTCATGGATTTCACCCTTAAGTTTTTGGGTGCTGGGATGCAACCTTCAGAGTGCAGACAGACATAACACTTAGCCTGTGGGAACCGATTCATATTTGTCCCTAGACAATAGTGTCTGCTCCTACACTAAGAGTACCAAGTAGAACTGTCACCTCTTTGGAGATGGCCCAGCTGCTGAAATGCCACCAGGGGATGGAGTACCCAGCCATCAAACCCTTGCAATGTATGGAGTTTCCCCAGGATGCCACTGAAGGAGGAAGGCACGGATTGGCTGGTTGCTAAGGAGGAGGAATGTATTATGGCCCATAATTGAAACTTCTGCTCCCCCTTCTCAAAAAAATCAAACCTTAAAAAAAGACTGATTTTACCCTAATATGCGACTTGGGGATGCATGGTGGGTGTGGTGGGAGGCGGGAGGTGCATTTGCTTGGACTCATGACCGGAAGTTGATCTGGCTTGGCAGGATCCCAGGCCTAATTGGGGTAAAATGTAAGAAGGGAGGGTTTACTTAGTCTGGGAGTGGTAGTTGTGTGGCCCCTGCTCGTGGTGACCAGGAGTCTTGAGTGCTTTGGGGGGTTGGGGTGGCACTGCCCCCTGCAACCAGGAAGCAGCTTGCCAGTTTCCCCTTGCTGCTCACCCCCTGTGTTCCTGGCTTGGCAGGCTGGTTTGGGGTGAGATGGGACCAAAGAGAAATGTTTCGAAACATTTTCTGAAGTTTAAACCAGTCTTTAAGGGGTGTGTACCTCTACACTAGTAACTCTCAGCCAGGGTGCTGTGGCACCCTGGGGTGCCTTGATCTTTTCAGGGGTGCCATGGGATGCTATGTACTTTTAGCACCATTAGCTGTGAAAACAGGATTCAGAAGATGAACCAAATAATTTCAGGTAGGAATCCATAGTATTCAAACTATTCTGCAGTCTTTTTTGAGTTCTTTGCAACAGAAAAATTGGTATATAATTTTGTGAGAACTAAGAGCTGGCACTTTCCAAGGGGTTCCTTGAGTCTAAAAAATAAAAAAAAAAAAAAAGTTGAGAACCACTGATCTAGACCTTTTGGGGTGTAGGTGTGATTGGAAGTTTCCAAGTGCAGACAGTGGATTCCAACAGGTGACATATCACCTTAGGGTGTGGATAATGTCACCTATTGCAATCCACTGCCTGCAGTAGGTGGCTAGCTCCCTATACAATGCCTGTGGTTTGGCATACAGAAGCCAGATGCTGAGAAAAGTTAGGTAACTAAGGCACTAAGTGTGTAAAACATAGGAACCCTTGGAACAGTGCTTCCCAAACTTTTCCTTGGCATGACCCCATTTCCTCAGCATGGCCCCTCACTCCAACCTTCAGCTCCCCATGAGCAGCTCCCTGGCCCTGCCAGTGCCCCTCATTCATGACGCACAGCCCTCTTTTTCTCCCC